TCTCCCTCCACGGAAAAACACAAATGTCGCTGCTCGTTGTTGCTGTGGACCGTGCATGCATTTTTAGTTTTTTGAGAAATTGTATGAAAAACGAAACCTCTGAATGTGCAATGCAATGTATGGAGACAAATATGACACAACCATGTTTCGATTGTCACAACACAAATGTGTCAATTGGCATTGGCTGATGAGATCACCAACTGTTTACCTGTCTTTAGGTTCTGCTCTATTATTCATCACCTAATTAAGAGAGTCCAAAATATAGCTCCTTCTTCTTTTTCCTTTATCATTTTTGAACTATTTTAGGGCAACCACAATGTGGTGGGAAGAAACTTACTTTTCTCTATTTATAATATAGGAAAAGTTAATTAATGATTAAGATTAATGGCTTTAAATTTAGTCACCATACCTAGTTTCCTTTTAAATTACCCCAATAACAGTTTGTATGTTTATTTTTTTAACTCTTGAGCACAACAAATAGATATAGGAAGTTAATTTATAAGCCATGATGCAAGAACTGTTCTTATATAAACTATAATTTTAAGCATCAAAATAATTTTTATTAACAGGACATATGACGAAGAGAATAATGATTTTTTAGTTGTAAGATATATTGGTAGTTGCTTTAATTTTTTTTTCTCATTAGATTCAAATATAAGCTTATACTTGAGATATAATTTTCAATGTCCTTAAATACAGTTGTCATGATTTTGGATTCAATAATATATTATTAATAAATAATAAATAAATATAAAAAAAATAGAAGTAAATGAAAAGTAAAAAATTAAAATTAATAAATATAGAAATAAATATATTAAATGATTATTAAATTTTAAAATTATAAATTATAAATTATATAAAAATAAAGTGAGAATAAAAAAATAAAATTATAAATTATATAAAAATAAAGTGAGAGTGAAAAAATAAAATTATAAATATATTAAATGATTATTAAATTAAAACAACTAAAATTATAAATTATATAAAATTTACAAAACTTTAAAAAACGAACATGATAAATTTTCAAATGATTTGAATATATATATATATATATATATATATATATATATTTAAATACATAGATAATATTATTTAATTTTTAAAATTATTATATGTTTTACAATTATAAAAATATTTGTATTTTGTATTATTTCTAGATTAATCGAATTACATTTTATTTTTATTTTTAATATTTTTTATAATATATTATTTTAATTGTGAACAATTGTAATTTATAATCAATTAACTTCATCACTTTGTAAAAAGATGTCTTTATTAACATTTATATATCAAAGTAATTAAATATTATTTATTAACTTTGTTAATAAATCAAATTTATAAAAAAAAATTATATATATATATATATATTTTTTTTTTTTTACAATTAAAATTTCGTTAATAAACATTTTATGTCACTAATATTAGTGAACTCTTGAAGTGGGTGACCTTACACTACAGTGTCTATCTATTAGGCTCTGTAGAATCTCACATGGGTTCCACTGTTTCAGGGTGGATGATACTCTGTTTTCACTTTCACAGACTCTGCATGTGTCCCTACCTGATAAGTGATAACATTGTGCAATTGTCCCAACCAAATAAAACTGGCAATACCAAAGAAAATTCACTTGACATATGAGGAAGACAAAGCCACCACTTTCTATTTGTACCATGCCTGCATAACATTTTGATGCAATCTGACCTTTACTAAAAGAAATGCATCATTTCACATGACGGTATCACATATTCAACTTGTCTACAATTAATACAGTAAGTTGGGCACACAGAGTTGGCTTTTCAAAAAGTCATCATAGCATCTAAAATTTGACACTGCATACCCTGCAGCAGTGAATGTAAAGGTTTTCATTATTCTATGTCATTTCTTTAACTATATAATTATCAAATATTTTATGAGTTTATAATCATATTTTAACATTTTTGGGCGAGAGTGGATCTTGAGTGGTACATTTATCTGTTTCTCCTTTTAAGTCAGAATTAACATAAAAAGAATAATAATGCACGTGTTTATTAAATGCTCAGTTTTTAGTTCTGTTATTATATATCTAATTTAAATTTTGTTCCTACTATTATTAGTATATTATTTAATTAGTTTTTTATGTTGTTAAGAGCGGTTTAAGAGGTGAAGGGTCATGTAATTTATATATATATATAGTTTTGACTCAATAAATTTAATAATTATTAAATATATTTATTTATATATTTTTATTTTTATTTTTTCATATTTATATTTATATATTTATTTCTTATTTATTAATAATATATTACGTAACTTTAAACATATTAAAGACGATATTACATTAAAGAATTTAATTTGAAGTCGAAATATTATATACTTAAAACGTAAATCTTTAATTCCTTAAAAGAAATTTGGATGATAGTCTTACTGTTATAATAAAATATTTGATTTGAGATAAAAATAAATAATTAAAATATCAATAAATAATTTTAATTTATACATAGTATAATGTACAACCAACGTAACAATTTTTAAAATAAAATACGTCAATTTTCATTTTAAAATAAGTCATATAACGTAAATGCAGGTGCGTATCTTAGATGTTTTATTGAAATTCGAAAAAAAAAACTTTGTTATTTGATTTAATTTGTCATTTAAAATAATTGTCTTTAACTTTTTATAGAAAAATATTAAATTAACTTTAAAATTAAAACAAATGTGCTTATTTTCCAGATTCCATTTCTTAAAAAAAAAAAAAAAAAACTATTGATGTTATAATCTATAATTGACTAAGCTCAATGACTAAATTAAACTTTTGAAACCTACCTATAGGATTAAGAAGCAACAAATTCAAGAAAAAAAGTATTGATTACCTTTAATGGTGTTCTATTATCCTTATGAAATGATAACTTAAAATATATAAAAGATCAATTTTAAAAAGAGTTGTTATTAAGAATGTTTAAAAATAAAAATGAATATTTATTATGGTTTTATATTTCAATTATTTAAAAGAAGAGAAAATTGCTTAAAATTAAAAAAAATAAAAATTCAAAGGTCTATAATAAAATATTTTTTTTAAACAACTTTTGTTAAAAATTAAGTTATGATAGACTTTCACGGTTATACATTTTTTTTATCAGCAAAAGAAAATATATTAAAAATGGATGTATTAGGAGTACAATTTATATCGTTTAATTACAAAAAAGAGGTTTCTAGTTGTCTACATGTCAAATATAATCTGTCTAATGATTATCCATCCACATAAATACTAGGATACTATTATGTGAGTTATAAACCATTGTTAAGTGGGTCTTCCTTAATATAGGGATTCCCCTCCAAAATATACATACTTATACAACCTGACCTATTTTAAGAAAGATTAATCACTTTACAAGATAGTTCATAGCCTTCATGTTTTCCTCTTTATCACTCATTGGTCAAAGCATACATTCGGTTATACTCTCCGATCGTGTGTGGTGAAGAATACCCTTTCAAATTTTGTTTGTACCCACATCCTTATCTTAATTTGAATCATTTCATATATTTCCATCTCTGTTTTGCTCCTTACTCTAAATACATTTTCATTTCTCCATTGCCATATTGCCCATATCATTGCAACCCATATAGTTACCCAAATTTCCTTATGTTTTCTTGATTCTACAATCCTAAGTGTTGGTTGAAATTTTCCTCTGCATTCCTTGGTAAGGCCATTGAATATCCCAACCACTCATAGCACATTCCCCACATCATATATGCTCTTTTGCAGTGAAAGAATATATGTTCTTTTTCTTCTTCTTCCAATCTACATAGTCCACACTTCACTTGTTCTTCATCCAGCATTAACCCTCTATGTTGGAGACTCTTTTTTGTCAGAATTCCATTCTTTATTAATCTCCATGCACAAACATTAACCTTCAACGGGGTCCAATTAGATCAGAGTTTGTTGAAATTAAAATGATGTTGTTGTTTATTGTTCTGTGTTATTGCGTGGATTCTCTTGTAAGCAGTAACCGTATAGACCCCTGAACTATCTGCTTCCCACCACCACGTGTCTTCTTTTGTTGGATCAATGATTGTGTTACCTCCCACCTGTCTCAGATTTGTCACCAACTCTTCTTCACCATTTTGTAAACTCCTGCTCCAATGAAATTTCTAAGCCCTTTCCAGTTGCTCTTGATCCATCATATCATGGATTGTAGCTTCTTTATTTTCTGTTAGTTCAAATAGGCTTGGGAATTCATCCTTTAGTCTTTGATTTCCTTCCCATTTATCATAGCCACCCTACTTTTCTTTTCATTGCTTCATCTATCCATGGTCTATTTTGGTCCTTGATTGTGTAGCATACATCGTTTATGTCCTTCCACCAATTAGATCCTCTTCTCCATTTCCTTTCGTTCATCTCTTGGCCCTCAAAACAGTCTTGCCCATACTTGGTTTTCAATATTCTGACCCATAAAGCTTGACTATTGTTTTTCATACGCCACTTCCATTTACCTAGTAAAGAAACATTAAACAAGCGCAAATCACTTAAACCCAACCCCCCTGGCATTTTGGTTTACATACCTCACTCCATTTCACCCATGCAATTTTACGCTCATTGTGTTCACCTCCCCACAAGAAGTTTCTAAAAATTCTAGTAAGACACATATATACAGAAGTAGGCAACTTAAAAAAGGAAAAGAAAAATAAAGGCAAAAAAGATAAAACAGAATTAATAAGAGTAATCCTACCACCAACAGATAAAGTTTTCCTTTTCCATGAAGACAACCTTGCAAGGATCTTATCAATAATAGGATTCCAAGTGGATGACAACCTTGGGTTTGCTCCTATTGGAATACCAAGGTAGACAAAAGGAAATTTTCCAATGGCATAATTAAGAAGTGAAGCCATACCCCTCAAGACAGTACAATCAACATGCACCCCAATTAACTTACTTTTTGAAAAATTTATTTTTAATCCTGATATCATTTCATAGCATCTCAAAATAGTTTTAATGGTTCTCACATTTTCCCAACTCGCTTGACACATGAAAAGTGTGTCGTCTGCGAATTGTAAATGGGATACCTCCACCCCTTCTCTTCCTAATTTAATTCCTTTAAGATTATTAGTTTGCTCAGCCCTTTGTATTAGTCCTGTAAGACCCTCAGCCACTATCAAGAATAAGAATGGGGCTAGTGGATCGCACTGCCTTAATCCCCTTCTCATTGGGAATTCGGTTGTGGGACAGCCGTTAGCCATAATGGAAATCATTGTTGATTCCAAGCATTCTCTTATCCATTTGGACCAAGTTTCCCCAAATCCTAGTCTCTTGTTTTATAAGTTTTTTTACAAAATCAACACATTCATTTGCAACTACAATACCGTATAATATATTTCTGTCTCCAACAAAATCAGTTTGACATTCACATATTATTGACCCCATGACCCTTTAATTCTTTTTGGTAATAATTTGGAAACAATTTTATACATGTATCTACTAATGAAATGGGTCTATATTCTCCTAAGAACTGAGAGTTATTTACTTTAGGGATGATTGTTATGAAAGATAAGTTGCAGCCCCTTGTAAATTTCCCATTTCTCTCAAACTCCTTTACAAACCTACATACATATGATTTTATTACATGCCATAATTTTTTTATGAAATTAAAATTATAACCGTCTAGCCCGGTGTTAGGTGGTAAAAAGTTGTTATAATTATGTCTTGAAAATTTGTTTGAGTGAATGTTAGTTATTCTTCTCTGGAGTTCACTCGCTCAAGCGAGCGTTTTGTCGCTTGAGCGAAAATAGGGAACTTTCGCTTGAGCGAAAGTTGTCACTTGACCGAAAGACGCGGGACCCAATTTTTCTTATAAAAAGATAAGATGTGTTTTGAGAAAAACAAGCGTTTTTGGGAAGAAGAGGCACGACTACTGCTATGGTTTCGTCCAATCTTCATCAATTCTTCAATTCTTCCACATTTGGAGCATTGTAATGGCTAACATGAGTGACTAACTTCATTCTCTTGGGATTTGGTGCACTTCCTTTGAACTCTTTTGTATCATGGTAATATTTTGAGATATTAATCTATGTTTTGATGTTGTTATTCTTATCATTTGTGCTTTGGAATGATTTATTCTTGATGTTTGGGATATGATTGGAAAATATATCTTGAACCCTAGATCACAGTAAGAATATTTGTTATGTTAATTGCCAGGAATGAGATGAATATATCAATTTCTTAACACCCTAAACCTAATGCTGGAAAATCTCTTAATTGTGTGAGGAATCAACATTTATTAGGTTTTCTTATGAATTTCATGTGTGAGGAATCAACATAGAGGATTTGAGTAGGTGACATCAACATTATTAGGTTAATTGATGTTCTTAATTGATATAGTCATTACAAAAGAGGGATAAGGAAGGAAATCAATCTTAAATGCCTTTAATTGATATTTTCTCAACAATTTACCGTTCTTTGTCATTTTATTTCAATTCAGCTATTTATGCAAAACCTAATTTGTTTTAATTCACTTAGTAAGCATATAATTAGGAATTTCTATTGAAATCATTCCTCGTGGGATCAAATTTTATTTAATTAAAATACTATACTGCGATTGATAATTTTGGTACGCTTAACAAATATTCAACACCCGGGACTCTTATTCCCATCACAATTCCAAACTGCCCTCTTAATCTCTTCTTCTTCAAAAGGCTTGCACAATCCTAGTCTTTCCTCCAGTCTTTTAAACTCAATCCCATCTAATAGGATTTTTGTGCCAGGTATATTCTTAAATTTAGATTCAAAGAAATTTTTTATTCCCTCCCGCACCTCAGCTGGTTCTTCTATCCATCTTTCCTAAACACATATCCCCCTTAATTCATTCATCTTTCTCCTCCTATTAATACAAATATGAAAAAAGCAAGAATTTGAGTCTCCCTCTTTTAACCATTAAATTCTGGATTTTTGTAGAAGGATTGACTCTTTTTTCTTGTTTAGGTCCCAAAACTTATCATTTATGTCTCTTTTCAAAATTATTTCTTGTTCACTCAGCCCTTGCATCTCCCCTTTTTCATCCAAATCATTCATTTTCCTTTAAATTTCCTGAATTTGTGAATCCACATTCCCATAACTATTTTTATTCCATTTTTTATCATTGTTTTCATCATTTTTAATTTTTCTTTAAGAACATAACCCCCTCAACCTTGTGCCTGAAAATTCCCCCAATTTTCCTCCACTAACTTTTTGAATGAATTTTCTTTTAACCAGTAGTTTAATATTCTAAAAGGCCTTGGTCCCCATTCTTTTCTTTCAGCTTTAAGCACCAAGGGACGATGGTCCGAATAATATCCCTGTTTAGTACCATTTGAGAGGTTTGTGGCCATTTCATCATCCACTCCTCAGATATCATGAAGTGGTCAATCCTGCTTATGGACAATCCATTATATTTCCCTCTAATTAAAGGTAAATCCAAAACTTCTAAATCATCTACCACCTGGTTAAAAAGTATCATTTCTGTTCTTCCATTATTTTGTGTATTCCCTCGATTTACATTCACTCCCTTTCTCTCATTCCTATTTCTTACCGAGTTAAAGTCTCCTCCTATACACCACATTCCCCAGCCTATATTTGTTTTCAGTGCTCTTAACTCATCCTAAAAAATTTTCTTGTCTTGTAATCGACATGGTGAATAAACATTTATAATGTAACACCAAGTTTGGTCATCTTCACATTTCCCTTTTACTCCTAAGAACCCCACTCCTATCATGACATTTTCCATTTTGAATTTTAGTTTGTTCCATACACTAAGGATTCCCCCTGATCTTCCCACTGATGGCTTAAAAGCCCATCCTATTTCCTCACTCCCCCACAGGTATTCACACATTTTGTTGTCTATCTCTTCTAACTTAGTTTCTTGTAAACACAAAAAGTCACCTTTTTTTATCTTTTATTAGTTTCCTAACGGCTTCCTTCTTTGTTCTACCCCCTAGCCCTCTAGTGTTATAGGACAAAATTATCATGAGTTTTGATGAGTTTCCCTCCTAGAGTCTAATTTCTTAAACTCTAATACATCCCTTTTTTCTAATTCCTCTAAAACTTGATGAACCTTTTCATTATTCTCATTACAGGAAGCACCAATTTATTTTCCTAATTCCCAAGTTTTTTTAGCTTCATTTAAATTACTATTTTTCAAAAAGGCCGCATTACAAACTTTTATGTTCGAATCTGAAATTGAGTTACTAATTTGTTGGGTTATAGGGATTACCTTATTAAAACATTTCTTTCTTCTTATTTTCCCTCCTTTTTATCTCTCTTTTACATATAAAAACATAATCTAAATTTGATACAGAAAAAAAAATAAAAAAAAAAATTTTCCAAAAAGAAACTAAGAAAAATGAGAAAAATAATCATTTTCATTATAAATAATATTTTAATTTATACATTTTTATCTTTTTTTTATTATTGAATATTAAAATTTGAGAAGAAAAATCTACAATCATCAATAATGTATCATGATTTCTTCATAATTAATTAATGATAAAAAAATCAATATTTAACAATCATATTTATGAATATTATAATAATAATAATAATAATATTTATATTGTTGTTCTTCTTTTTTTATTCTTTCATTCAAAAATTATATATAAATTATTTATTTATTTATTTATTTAAAATGAGTTGTTAAACAATAATTTTTCTAATTAACTATGGATAGTTTTTAAAATTAAAAATCACTATAAATACAAATTTAATTCATTAACTTTTCTAATTACCAATAGATAGTTTTTAAAATTGAAAATCATCATAAATACAAAAGTAGCTCATTAGTTATATTTTATTTAGTATTTTCAACGGACTAATTTAGATATTCTCATAGAATACAAACTATCCATATAAAATGTTAAAATATTCAACCTTTTAATTAAATTTATGTATATTTCTCACGTATGTTATTCAATTTCTTAATTATTTTTATCTAAGATGGAATTTTTTAACTTATATTTAAATTCTAATTTTTTTAAATGTAATTTTTTATGCATCAAAATACTTTTTTTTTAATATTTTAAATTATAAACCTCGTTACATTACTTTCTTATCTAAAAACTAAAAACTAATTTAAACATTGAACTTTTACCAACAAACTTGTACCCATTTTTAAAGAAAATCATTCAATTACCTCCAAACATTTCAAACAAAGGTCTCATCAGATCCTTTTATTCACCTCCACCATTGTGAAAACAAAAGATACAGGAACGTTTACCAAATTATTATCCTAGTTTAGTTTTTTTCACCATATCCTCATTAACACCTTTCATTAATAACCTTGTGAAAAGATACAGTAACATAAGGTTTACCAAATTATGATCCTAGTTTTTTTTTTTTTTCTTTCTTTCTTCTCTTGCAAACCTCCTTTCTTTCTTTCACTTTCTCCATCCCATCTTCAGCGGATACAAAGATAGCCTAAATGATTGGGTATCTAGTAGTAGCTAGTTCATTCGTGTTCAAACACTCTAATACTAATAATTAATTAACTTCCCCTTATTATATAAACTTTATAAACAAAAAATAGGCAATAAAAAACACCAAATTAGGCGATTGAGTGTGAACAACCCACCCCCAAACATTGCACCAATGAAAAAACAAACGCTATATTTACCAAGGAAATAACCAACAACCTTAAATTAACATTTGACACGTGTGGACACACGATTCATGCAATCATTTGCACCACCCATTCCAATTCCATATATAAACTTTTATACAATCTCTCTCTCCTCTCCCAGGCACCACCAAACAATTCTCACACTCTTTAACCTCCTTTGATCTCCCACTTTCTCTTCAATCAATCAAAGTCTTCATTGAATTTCTTTTTCCATTTTCCTTCTCTCCCCTTTCCATTTTCCTGAAGCAGTTCAAATCTCCTTTAATCTGCTCCATGGTGAATGAGAATCAATAATCACATTAAAAAAGGAGAGAGAATTACACATTACAAATTACTGTATTAAATTAATTAATTAATTATATAAATAGGGTTATATTTGGTGAAAGCGCTCCACGACCAGAGTTCATGCAAACGGAGCCTAGAATGTCGACGACGGAGGCTTTAACCGACGACGAGTCCACAATGCGAATTAGCAGCGCGGCGTCGCCGATGAGTCCTTATCACTACGAAAATGGAAGGCTGAGCGGCGAGGGTTCTCCGATGATGATGTCGCCGTGGAACCAGACCACGAATACGCCGTTTATGAAGGTGCAGTGGTCGCAGAGCGAAGACGGGAGCCTGCCGCAGAACGCACTCGTAGGTTCTCTTGTCCGAGAGGAGGGACACATATACTCGCTGGCGGCTTCGGGCGACCTCTTGTACACGGGGTCGGACAGCAAGAACATCCGCGTGTGGAAGAATTTGCAGGAGTATTCGGGGTTCAAATCCAACAGCGGATTGGTGAAAACCATAATTCTCTCGGGGCAGAAGATCTTCACCGGACACCAGGACGGGAAAATCCGCGTCTGGAAGGTTTCGCCCAAGAACCCGAGCGTGCACAAACGCGCCGGCACGTTGCCCACGCTTAAAGACATCTTCAAGAGCTCCATTAAACCCAGCAACTACGTCGAGGTTCTATTCTATTCAATTCTACCTTTTTTTTTCTTTCATTCTTTTCACTCTTCTTGCTCATTCAAATTTTAGTCACACACATACTTACTTTTTCATTTCTCTTTTCTTTCCCTTTTTTTTTTTTAAGAAAAATTACATTCTAATATAATATTATTTTTATTGTAAATATTCATAAAAGTTATACAAATTTATTACGTTGTTTTAAGTTTGATTCTAATAATATTAAATTTGAATGGAGTTTTATTAATGAAAACTATAATTAGAAGTAGAAGACAACGCGTGTGTTATGAATATTTTGGCTTTTCAGGTTCGGCGACACAAAACGGCGTTATGGATAAGGCATTCAGACGCCGTTTCGTGTTTGAGTCTCTCTGATAACAAGTTGTATCTGTACTCTGCGTCGTGGGACAGAACCATCAAGGTGTGGAGGATCGCAGACTCCAAGTGCCTTGAGTCCATCCACGCGCACGACGACGCCGTCAACGCGGTGGTGTGCGGCGAGGATGCGGTGATGTTTTCGGGCTCGGCGGACGGAACGGTGAAGATGTGGCAGCGGGAGGTACGGGGGAAGGGGCTGAAGCACGCGGCGGTGAAGACGCTCCTGAAGCAAGAGTGCGCGGTGACCGCGCTGGCAGTTGACGCGACAGCGTCGATGGTGTACTGTGGCGCCTCCGACGGGATGGTAAACTTCTGGGAGAGCGAGAAGGGCTACGCTCACGGCGGCGTCCTCAAGGGCCACAAGCTGGCCGTGCTTTGCCTCACCGCCGCGGGAGCGTTACTGTTCAGCGGCTCCGCCGACAAGACCATATGTGTGTGGAGAAGAGAAGGTACGATTCACACGTGCGTGTCGGTTCTCACGGGTCACGACGGTCCGGTGAAGTGCCTCGCCGTGGAGGAGGACCGCGAATCTGCTGCCAGCAGAGACCGGCGTTGGGTTTTGTACAGTGGCAGTTTGGACAAATCGGTTAAGGTTTGGAGCGTATCGGAATCGATGGACAATAATCAGTTGATGCACCAGCGCATGGCCTCTGATGCGGACTCGTTGCCCTCCGTCTCCGATAGTAGCCTATCTTTGGGCTGGGCCAATGGGAGAAACTGATGGGCCTGGCCCGGATAATCGGCCCGAACCGGTTTTACTATGGCCACGAGTCTTCATGGGATGATTATGCCTCTCGTTTTTGTTCTTCTTGGTCTCTGTTTTTGCTCGTTGACTTTGATTGATTGACTTCGAAAGGCTTGGTCGAAGATCTGTATTATTAATTGATATGTAATAATTGAATGTAATTTATGTAAGAATGAATGAATGGTTGAGGTAGTTCAAACTAATATGGTTTTCTTCAATTGAAAATCACGTTTGTGGATAATGGCAACATAATTGTCAATTGATATTACCTCCCTTTCACTCTTATTTGTTATTGGTATAACCAAACTCTTTTTTAAATATATTTTTTTACTATTATTTATTCAACTTATTAGGTATTTTAAAAATAAACTATTTTGTGAGTTTTATTTGTAATTTTAACTAGATGAGTTAAGATTTTTCATTTGTTAATATTTAAATAAGAAACGCGTTTTCCATTAAATAATTAAATAACGATAAATATTCATTAAAAAACATGAGATTCACTTAAAATTGTATTCCCTTTTTTATAAATTTTAAAACAACAAAAGGTTACATTAAAAAAAGTTGGTAACGGGCCTTGAAGCGTTCAAGCACGAAGTTAGTATAATATATTTGGTAACAGTCTAACTTGTCTCTATTTTTCAACGTAATATGATATCAATTAATGTGCGTTGGTAACGTGGATATATATATATATAAAAGATAATTAGTATTTTATAGAATATATATTTTTTATTTTATTTTATTTTATTGTTCATATATTACTTATTTTTTTTATAAGAATTCTATGAACAATAATCATATAAAAAATAAACAATGTTTGAATAATAAAATAAAATAAATAATATATACTTTATAAAGATAGTAATTATCTGAGTATATATATATATATATTATTTAAAAAAATATTTTATAAATATAAATATTTTTTAATTTTTAATTTATAATAAATATTATATTTTTTATACAATTTCTTACTTTTATATATATATATATATATATATATATATATATATATATATATATTTAGATTTTTATCTTTTTTTTTCTTCATCATTACAACTTTTATTATTACACACTCATTTTATCTTTTTATATTTTATTTTTATCACTTTTTAACATATCTTTTTCTTTTATGGTTTGAAGTTATAACATAAAAATTTTAATTTTTTTCTCTTTACTTTATAAAATTATCTTCTTCTTTTTTATAATTTATCTCTACAACATAAAAATTATATTTTTTTATTCTTTAGTTTTTTTAGCTTTTTTGTATTTTCTTTTAAGGAAAAATATTTAAAAATAAAAGAAATATTTTATAATTATTATATTATTATTATTATAACCACTAGCATCTATAATGTAATATAAAAATATGATATGTTGATATAATTTTTTTTTTGTTATAAATTAGTTAATTATTTTAATATTTTTATGATACTTTATTTTGACAATAAAATATGAAAAAAAATATTAAATTGAGTTTTAAAGATATCTAAAAATAAAATTATAGATTATTTTTTAGAAGAAAAAAAGGATTGATGAAATAAACTTTATTTTTTAAAATTTAAATTTAATTAATTATATTATATATGTAATATATTTATTATATAATAATTAATTTTTATATATTCATCTAAAATTTTTGATTTCATATATATATATATATATGACTTTAACTAGAATGTATGACCATTTCAAGATCAATTATATTTTAATATTTTACAAAAAATATAAGATAACAAATATTCATTGAGATAAAGTAAAGTGGATTCGTTCTTATCTTTGTTAACACATTTGCGTTAAATGCAATGGACACATGTAAAGATAAAATAATCTTACTTTAGTAGCTTGTCATAATGATAAGCATTAACTAAGGTCTTTACTTTCAATATGATCTTGTAGAATTGGAATAATTTAAGTTTCACAAGTCATGTTTCCATGTAGTGGGTCCCAATAAGGATATATCCTCTTATGAAACATAATCTCTTCCATCAATTCCCGTTGTAGTTATCTGTCAAATTTTCAACTTTCTGGAACTCTTCTTCATGTACATAGATCTCAATCATTAATTTGAAGAATTTTATAGGTTGAAAATCATCATCTTTTGGAATGATCTTATTCATAGGATAAAAACTCAGTGGTTTCTAGGATGAGCTGACAAGATTGGGGTCCACTAGTTTATGATTATAAATGTTGACTTCACAAATATGTCTAGCCAATTGGGTTTTGTAGTTGTCATTCAAAAGATATGTCTCAAAAGTTTCCCAAATAAAACTTCATTTCTTGACCATAATATCTTGTAGGATTATGAAAATATGGATGATAGATGATAAAGATAGAGGTGAGAGAGTCAAAAGAATTTTTAGTCATTCCTCTTTATCTTTGGAAATCTAAAATTTTCTTTAGTTCTTGTCTCTACCAAGACAAAGGTGAAAATCAATCCAATAAAGTCCAAAAACAAGAAATGTTAGGATATTGAAAGTCATATGGGTTTTTAATGAAATGGGAAAGGAGTATTGGACAATATTATTGCCCAGAATGTTGGTTCACAAATATCCTATCTAGGTTCACAAAATAATTCAAAACTTCCTTCGAAAGTAATATCAGGATAAAAAGTAGTTGGAGAGTTTTTATACCTCGTGGTTTCATGGAGAAGTTGGGTTAAATCTACAAGGATAAAGTTTTATGATTTTAAATTTGTGGGACAAAAGTTTGACTTATGTGGAAAATAATATGTAAATAAAACAATTAAAATAGTATAAAAAGTATCTATATTTGTAATACTTTCTATATTTAAAAGTTTAATGTATTATGTAATATACAAGAGACTTATTAATAAATAATAAACAATTAAATGATAAATGGATAAAGTATTAGTAATTTTTTATGACAATTGATGTTTGAGGGAATGAAAAATCTACTCGAGTCATGTATTAGCACCAAGTCTTGCCTTGTAACATTCGAAGTTACCATGAGAGTCATGTTTGGTATTAAAAATATACTTACATCCAACTCTCTTGCAACCTTCTAGAAATTCTCCAAGGTTCCAAACATCATTATGTTCCATTGACTTCAATTCTCCTTTCATGACATCTAACTATTTTTCAAAATTATCAGAACTTACAACTTATGAAAACGTAACTGGATCATTATCATTAATGCTTAAGTCAGTTTCTGAATCATGTAGATATACCATATAGTAATTCAAAATAACTTTTCTCTTTGAGATCTCCTTAATGCTACTTCTACAGTAAATTCATTTTGAATCAAGGGTTCATCATTGTGTTATTATTCTTCATTGTTGTTTGATATAACAATTAGAGGAACATTTGCTTTATTGCCAGAGACATAAGGTAAGAGAACTTGTACTCTAACTTCTTTATTTTTCACTTGTTGTGGAATTGAATTACCACTACTTTCACCATATATCTAGTGACCCTTGCATTTCTAGTTTCAAAAATTATCATATTATGATTAAGACAATAAAACATATGCCCCTTTGAATTTTTTGGATAAACAATAAAGTATTCAGTGATTATTCTTGCATCTAGTTCCTTTTCTTGTGGATTATAAACCCTTAGTTCTGCCTAACAATCCCAAACATACAAGTGCCTTATATTGGGGGTCTTATCAGTCCATAATTCAAAAGGTGTCTTTGAAACTGCCTTACTAGTAACCCTATTCATCATATACATAACAGTTTTTAAGGCCTACATTCACAAATAAATGGGTAAGAAGAATTATTTAACATACTCTTAGTCATATTCATTAATGTTTTATTATGCCTTTATGATACACCATTTTGTTGTAATGTATCTGACATTGTGTATTGTGCACAAATGCCACATTTTTGAAAGAATTTAGCGAATGGACCTAGGTGTTGTCTAATCTCATCATAGCTTTCGTAATAATTTTCACCTCTGTTAGACCTGACAACTTGCATCTTTCTGTCTAATTGTCTTTCTACTTCATTCAAATAAATTTTCAAGACATGCATTGCTTGAGATTTCTCATGCAATAAATATGCATAACCATAACATGAGACATCCATTTCTAATAAATCCAAATGATGTTCGGTGTAAAGGATTAAATGATAAATCCTGACTATGTGCACGAGAGCTTTCCCTCTATTCTCCATGAAGACAAACTTTTCATTTGTCCTTATGCTTTGAATCATGAGAAATCCATGTAATGTATTAGAAACATGAGTTGTAAATCTATAATCAATCTATCATATATAATGTGGAACTTAAGTTAGATTTGATTCAAAACATACATAAACATTAAGCTTATTTTTCTTTTCAAACCAAATATTACGTTTTGAGCAATCCTTTTGGAAATGTCCATATGTCTCATCCTTTGATGTTTTTTCTCTTCTATATTTTCTCATATGCATCATTAATTTTTATCTAGCTCCTTGATTCCTTTGGTGGCTTACATAATAAATTGAGTAACTTCTTTAATTCTTAAGTCTTGTTTCTTTCTGAACCAACATATTGTGCAATTTATGTATATTCTATTTATTTTTCATGGTATTATAGCTCATTTGAAATGGTTCATATTAAAGTAATGTGTTAAAAAAAGATTGTATTAGGATGTTTTCATTCATAGCCATTCCCAAGGTCTTAACTCTTGCTGCAATATTTGTCATTTCAATGACATGCTCATTCATAGTACGTGATCCATCAAATTTTATAGTGGTCAGTGTACTCATTAATGCCCCAAAAAGATACTTATGAGTTGTTTTAAAGCGCTCTCCCACTAATCTCATAAACTCTTTAACACTTTCAATTCGGAAAAAGTTGTCTTAATATTGTCAGCGACAGTCATTCTCATGAATATTAGACTGGTTTGTTAGATCTTTTTCAAGCTTTGTAATAGGCTTGTTATTCATTATTGCTAGAGTCACTAATATCAATAGACTAGCAAGATCAAGATCCATAATACCGACGCGAAATTAAACTTGTTCATGCTTA